ATTAGTGCCACCGACAACGCTAACGAAACGACTAAACATGTGGCTTAATTTGTCATAGCAACTCTCGCACAGGCCAGAGATTTCACCAACGCGCGCAGAATGTCCTCGAAGTCAGACGATTCTTTAGCAGCTATTAGAAGTTCAGTACAGTTCAGTTCAGAACAGTATTATCAAAAGCAAGCAGATACATAAAGAGCCTGAATTTCTGTAAATATATTCTCAGTACGGGGATATTATTCTTTTAGTCTTCCGGCCTCTACCTCCTTCCTACTTCCCTCCGCTGTTTCTGTATCATCTCCGTCGCTTATTCCCTTCTTCCGTGGTTCGTGTTAACTTTATCGGCGTAGATACTTGTCTCTCTTGTCTGTCGATTTCTGTTTCATGTTTGCTATAAAATCTCGGAATATGTGAGATTTGATGGTTTCACGGAGCCGTGTAGACTCGTGCGTGTATGTATATAACGTGGACTCGTAGGTATATACGGACAGCGAAGCTCATCGTCCTAAGTATGGATGCAGCAAGCACCTCTGAAACGTCGGTAAAAGTCGTTCAGACTACACGGCGCAACAACCCAGAAGACAGCCATCTTGATACTCATTTAGTATATTTATTATATAGTTCCCATGTCTCATAACTCGCACGTAGATCCACTATTAAGTAAGAAACGTAACGGATCTGTATTGAAAAGCAAGAAGGATGTTTACTACAGGACAATGGACCGTCGGTTGAAATAATTTTGGTACTGCAGCTCCGGGATAAAACATGCTTTCCTGCTAAGAGAACCTGTATTGCGAGTCTGAGACTGGTCAGCCTCTTGTCGACTCATCCAAAGCAAGAAAATGATCGGCTGGGAACGAACATTACAACACGTTCAAGATTATTTTTATTCTGACGTATTATAACAGATTCTGCTCCAGGGAAGACTTTCACAGGATCCCGCACTAAAAGGTAAGTGCTTTAACAGCGATTCTAAGTGCAAATTTTATACAAGTTTTAATTAAAACGATGTGGGACTTCGGACAAGGATGGGTAATTATTTTTACTTAAGAGCCAGGCAAAGCTATTTCTAATGTCCCCTGTCGAAGGGCCCGGGGACAATGATTGTGTACTTCAGCAACTGTTAGAATTTTATCAATAATCTCTTTTATGCCAAAATAGACATCATGGTACCAGTCACGGTGGACAAGACTTGATACATTTTCACAAAACTAAACTTTTCTGATAGGTAAATCATAAGGGTGGGAGCAGTTTGTCAGAGAGAAGTTTTAGAAAAATACACACTAGTGGTTCACCGAGAATGACTAGCCCTGTTATAAACTACACCTTTGTGAAGTCGTGTTGAATTTTCTTAAGCAGCACTGGAAGGGATTCGCCATATGAGTTTGCAATCTAGAGAATCGGTAAGGAACGTACAAATGTAAACGACATGAATTTCGTCCAGACTAGAACTGGAAATATCCACCAAGTGTGTTTCGTGTTGCAGTTGTTCTGGATTAGTTAACATTTACACCCGTAGCTGCATGCCGACGTTTCGAAGAAACATACAGTCAAATAGGTTTCTCTAAAACGCTGGTATCTATCTATGAATGCCCCCCGGGTCACAAACCACGAGAACATCGTTTTCGTTTTAGACAAACCATAACGCAAATAGTGAGAATCAGGATTTTAACCTATCGCCAGGTCATGCCCATTGTGGAAGCTGAGTGATAGTTGGTCACCCCTCATGTCATGATTTGAGGGAGTGAACAAAACACAAAGCTAATTCATAGACTTTCCGTTCACCAAGATGTTTTCTCGGGACTAATCGATTCATGACTACACGGGGGGGGGGGGGGGGGGGGGGAGGCTGCTCATCTCAGCATTGTAATGACGACATCCCCTTCCGCTCCGCCTCCATCTTCGCCGTCACCCTCCAGCACCTGACTCACTGGACATGGAGATTTAGAACCAATGGAAGAATGCAATGCTAAAGCTGTCCAAAGTTCGCTTCCTACAAAGCAAACAACGTTACGTTTCACGTTTTCACGGCGGAAAACATGAAGATGGCGGTCTTCTGGGTCTTCTACGCCCTGGTGATGGAGGCAGAAAGGACCTCTGAAATTATGGTAAACGTCTACCAGACTGGAAGGCGCTACAACCCAGAAGATGGTCATCTTAGAATTCTGCAAAGTTCGTTGTCACAAGCATCCTATAAGAACTTCACTGTTTATGATTACGTAAGTCAGAGACGTACATCCTTTTCTTTGTGGCGATTTTTAGTTGTAGGTTTTGACACCGTGAGCAAATATCAACGCTTCGGAGAAACATGTTGTTTCTTTCTTCAGGATTGAAGTGGCTATGATTTTATTAAACATTACGCCTGCCGTTGCGTGTGGAAGGAAAGTCCCACAAGATCTTTGACTTTACACCTGGAAACAGATTAGTGTTCAGTTTCACGATGTGGCTGTTTTTACAGTCGGAGTAGTGTTCCGATAATGAGGGATTTATGTTCTGATTAGTGTTTGGAGGGACGTGCTCAACTCCCTGCCCTTGGACTATCACGGAGCAAATATTTCTTACTCTACAGTGCTGTTAGAAAGTGTAGGAAATTTTAAAATTTCAAATTACAAAGTTACGAGTCTGAACTTCGACAGTAGAGGTATACAAACAATGTACCACGATTCTGTGTAATGATAACGGCAGGGCTCCTGAAAATCTCCGGATGTAAGGATTCAGTAGCCAAGTTCCACTGAAATCTGTGAAGTCGTTTGGAAAGATATGAAGCATGCGGATTTGTGGGGACAGGTGGAGTTTCTCGCCAAACTAGAACAGACAAGGGCTTGGTGATAGCGTGTCGCAAACTTCAGATATTCAAATGCTGCATTCTTATTTAACCCTAATCTGCTACAACCAACAAATTCATCTCAAAACACGCGGTCTGACATACGACAGAAACACCGGTTAAAATTTTACATCAATTTTAAATATGAAAACCCGAAGAAAGAAGTACATAACAATGAGTAATTGTTACTTACATTTTCTTCAATTTATTTCGCATGTATTAAAATTACGTGTCTGTTTTGCTTTTCCCTATTTCTTAGTTTTTACACAATCTGATTTTGTTATTATTTGCTGGATGCATTATTTTATATCTATTCATGCTTATTTACTTGTGCAATGATGTATTTATTACATGGGGATAATATTAAAAAGGAGCTCAGTACGAAGTGAAGATGTGGATTCAAATTATACGGCTCAGGATATATATCACGGGCAGGCTTTTAAGCTTCATAAGAGGATACAAGTTTCTACCAGGTTCTCAAAAACTGCTCTGTTCCGTGGAGTTAGCTGTTGTAAGTATTTGGGGAAAAAACACTTTTATTTTTCGGAAATATTCCTGCAAATTTTACACGTTAAAAAATTTAAGCGAAAGTTATAATAGAACTGTGTTGTCTGGAGTTAGTTTATTATTTGTAGCGTGCAACATTATTTCTGTTTATTTAAAGAAATTAAATTTACGACGGTAAAATAACACCGTTTTAATTTTGGTAGTAATGTCAAGAAAGGCTTCTCTCGCTTGGGTAAGTAGATTCCCGTGAAAATAATACGTCATTCCTAGTCTGGGTTATCCACAGCGGATCAAAACTTCGTCAAACAAAACTTATTATAAAGTAAACATGTGTGTGGTCATAGTGAGCTACTCCTCCACTAAGTCTCTGACAGTTAAATTCCCTTACCCTGAGCAGGAAAGTCCATGGCTTTATGTCAACGAAATAGCATGTAAGATCAGTAAGTATAAGGCGCTATGGTTGGGGACAGCCATGCTGGACCGAGCGTATAACCCCAGTCTGCGGTAATTCTCACGGGGTCGTACGCCGCCACCAGGTTACCAGACCGACACACACCTGGAAAAGCGGCTTAACTCACATGTTAACAAAATGTATACTCTACTTAGGACATCGCAAGCAAGGAGTTCATCGGATCTTTCCAGGAATTTAAAATCACTGGGTCGGAATATGGCTGTCGTCTGGACTGTTGACTCGTGTAGTCTGGTAAACGTTTACCAAAGTTTCAGGGGTGCTTGTTCATCGTCCTGATGGTATAGACAGAAAGCGTCGTTGAAACATTGATAAACTCCTACCAGACTACATGTCACAACAACCCACAAGACAGCCATCTTTATATTCGGCGCCGTGAGAACCTCAAATCTCAAATTGCCAAATGTACCACCACTTTAAGTCACATTTCTCTTATTTTAAAGAGAGATAGAGGAGTTTCCTATTATAAAAAAGATATTTTCATAAAAATAGGTTTATAGTCTGTTTCCTTCAACGAGCGTACAAACTGAACTTGCATCCAGCCGAGTCCTTATAAATTCTGACATAGCTATTATCGCCGGAGAGCGGCCATCCTGACTAAGGCTTTCGCGGTTTTTCTCAGTCCCTCCAGGCTAAGACCTGGATATTAGACCGACTTTAATATAGGCCACAACAGCTTGCTTTCAAACCCTTTTCTTAATCATCCTAACACTAAATGCTTCATAGTCTGAACTATTAACATTATCATTAAATAACCCACAAATCAATTAATTAATTTAATTAATGACCAATCCCAAATAGTCAGTACTATCTTTCGTGTTTTCAGGTTGTATGGAAAACAGAAGTAAGAGCCCTAGTACTATTTCCAGTCCAAGCAAATTTGAAGTTTTACGTAAGTAGCTACTTAGGTCTGTTTTACAAGTAGTAATTGCTTTGTGCCACAAGGTGCCGTCTTACTGCCCACGTGTCTATTATGCCCTATACTCTGCATGTTCAGAGTTGGCCATATTGGGAATTCAACTTAGAAAGGCAACCCTCAAGGGATTTCGCTCTGTGTAGCAGATTTGGCCGTTATCTTGAAGTTACAAAATGCTTGCGACAGGAACAAACAGGGCAAAGCTTTCCTTGAACCCAGCGATGAACACAAACTCTGCTTATATGTGATCTTTAAGCTAATCAGACGGTACATACAGGTCCCAAAACAATTCGGTTTTATAACTACCTTACTCGTCCCTACGACTGTTTGTGATCTTTGTAAGTAGAAACTTCTGAAGGGGACTGAAGGCAAATGCTCTATTTACGATGTGCAGTTAATAGTGGGAAGTGAAATAAATCCATGAAGTGAATGTCTTTTAATAAATTTACAGCTTAAGACTTTATACTCCCCACCGTGAGAACCTCAAGTCGCACTAAAATAACTCAAAATCCCACAGAATAAACCACATTCTGGAAAAACTCTAGAAGATTTCTATCCGAAAAATAAATATTCTTCCTGTGTGTGTGTGCCTCCTTTAACATGTGATGGAAAAATCTGCCCGTTCTCCCAGCATTACGTTGGAATGTTATATTAACTTCTAGACCATTCTCACGCCATTCTTTTTAAAATTCTTCCATCAACTTTTCCTGACCGAGAGATATTTTGCAGTAGGAGAAAAGTAAAAGAGTTCAATGAAAATGCACATAGACGCTTAACTCTTTAAAGCTAAACATCATCTTAAAATAATATTCAAACATAAAGAAAACTCGACCCATACTCATTACAAGGATCAATTGGTTAATGTTCTTTAAGGAAATACTCGCTGTTTACACTGAAAACCTTACAGAACCGACAAATACAATTTGTGAGCAAAACACAGAATTATTTGTTGTTAAAGCAGGTGGAACGTATAGTTACCACCATACTTTAAAGTAATGCATAACGTTTATTGAGATAGCATTTGGGTGTAATATAATGTAATAGGACCTACAGGGAGTAATAAGAGATAACCAACATTCCAACAAGAAACGCTCATAGCAACCACAGAATTTTCTTTCTCGCCATTTTGTGTGGATAGCCCATATTTCAAAACCGTCTGAAAATAATCTAGTCTTTAAAATTAGGAAATACAATTTCACACACAATTTAGATTATATGACTGTAAATAAGTACGCTGTTATTAATTCGAAAGTACCGAAAAGTCTTAACACACTTGATGTTAAACCATCTTTCTTTTGGAGGCAGTCAAAATGACAGAATTCCAGCTTTGTAATAACTTACTTTACACGTTAAAACGTGCATAAATATTTAGAATATGACTATAAAAAATACTGCGTTACTTTGCCTTGATGTAAAATGGTTTTTAGATTCTAAAATGTCTAAAAACATTTCTCCGAAATTGTATTAGATACGCAAAAAGGTAAAAGGTTAATTTTAATTAAATTGAAATATTAAATGTTCTTCTGTATAATATGATATTTTTAGTTCTCTCCCTGGAAGTTACTGGCATCAAGTTCAACTGGTTTATCTTTTGACAAGATCAATACGAAAGAGAAACTGCTATCAAGTTTGTGAGCACAAACTGTGGGGGAGTGAAGTCTATAAGGAAGGGGAGAGAAGTAGAAGAAGCGGTTATTCAAAGAGATGGAAGTGACGGATGGACAGACGCATGCAGAGGGGGGTGGGGGCAGACTGGTGAGTCTTGGGTCGATACCAAGACGATGGTCCAAGCCCTCAATACAGTGTTCTGCCCTTGCCAGACCCATCTCCTTGCGAAGCGTAATAACCCTATATTGTACACGGACCCTGGACCCTCGTAACAACTAGCAGCAGCCTCCTGCAACGGAACACTGACCCCAACAGCTGCTCCTCTATACAAACAAACATAGGTTCGTAAAACGACATAGGCAGACTTGCTCATCTCTGTTTGAATCCGTAATTGACTTAATGCGTTCTTTCAAGTTATGATTATTAGACAAAAGCAAATAACAAGGAATTAACATCTATTGTCTTTAAAAGATCACGTTCAAAAGAAAACAAATTATGCCGAATGCTGTGGGAATGGTTGTTAGTGTCCGATTATTTAGATCTTTCGTTATTCCGGTCAGCAGTTCGATACATGTCCAGGACGAGTACATTTGACTGACGCATATAAAATTTAATCCGCAAAACTGAAGGAAAGTAGATGTATATCGAGAAATCATATAGAGTAGATTAGGTCTGAAAGGAATAGGATTGAAAAATGTGGCGATGGATTCCCGTGACGGGCTCGTATGATCATTGTAAAGGACCTTGGGGTTCAGACAAATACGTTGGTTTGCTAAGCGACTATTGGCTTGTCTGAAAGAAGTCTGTTCCATGGAGTTCTACTTTTCACCGCCATCATTTGGTCCCACAGGTAATTTCTCTAACAGCTGTTGGCAAGCCCCACAGACCAACGCGGCAAAGTTAGATAAATACCTGCAAAATTTTGATCTAGACAGCCCCAGAAAAAGACAACGAAAATAATAGTCATTCCATAGTTTAATTACGGTATCGTTTTAATGAATGTTATAAATTATTGTATTTTTTAGAAGGTATTACAACAGATGCCGCAAAAATTTACAGTCCATTTTTTCGTAAAATTTTGAACCCGAACCTCATCTAAATAATATATAACCAGTCCATAACTCAAAGGAAACAATACGCTTAAGCATTACAAAGATAAATTGGTTAATGCCGCTTAAAGGAATAATTCCTGTTTATTCTGAGAATCATAAGAAGCACATAAACACAAAATACAAAGATAAATCAGGTGATACATGTAGTTACCACCAGGCTTTAAATGGTTAAGTAATTGACGTAATCACTTCCCGAAATATGAGTTGTGTGGGCGGACTGCAAGACGTCAACCACAGCATCAGATTACTCCATATCCAGGCTCGCAACTACGATCCAGTGGGATACTAATTAGCCACCACAATTTACCAAGTTGCCTTTCTTTTTCACTCCTACCACTACGCAGCACCCATTTCGCTGCCATCCCTTTGACATGTCTTGAATGTTATTACAGCCTATTATTACGGCGATGAGGATAGGATGTTCAGGCCTTTAATGACTAAAGACACCGACAGACAATATAAACCCGCTGGCGCCTGTACTCCAGCTCACTTCTCTCTTCTCCTCTCCTCTCCTGTCCAATCCCTACCAAAATACATGGATGTTCGTGTGTGCATGTTTTCTTGATATGAATTTCGTCTAATTCTTTTTGAACATGAAACAATAATGTTATATAAAGATGGCCTTCTTCTTGGTTGTTATGCCATGTGATATGGTAGAAGTTTGTCGACGTTCCGGAGGTACTTTATTACGTTTCTAAAACAAGCACTTCTAAAACGTCTACCTGATTATACGCCGCAATAACCCAGAAGATAACCATTTTTAGACTCGCCACCGTGAGAGCTTGAAATTTCACAATATTTTGCATAATTTGGTATTTAATATGGCAGTAAGAAATTATACTTGAATTACAGTAAATAATAAAATCATAACCAGTTCATACTGCAAAATATCTGTTTCGTAATAATACGGATTAAAATCAGATTGAATTCGTGAAACGTCTGTCGCCATGCAGTCAAAAAACGTTTGTCTTCCCGTCTAATACCAAAAACAAAAAGATCGAATATAAGATTGTAATTTTACTTTGTAAGGGGGGGGGGACATTGAGGTAAGAACGTATGTTGAGGGTGTTTGTGAGAACAGGACGCTTAAGAAAATATATGGGACTGGACCTAAGACGTATGACGTGAGAGAGGTCTGGAGAAAACTGTTTCGTAATAATTTTTACCAAATATTATTAGGTTTATCAAATCAAGGACGATGCGATTGGCCGATGTAGGGCGCATGGCGACACGAGAAATGCTACATCTCTGGCATGAAGCTTTCACGGCGACTTAGTATAATAAATTCTTCTCGGGCTACCAGTCGTGTAACACTTCAGGTAGCCCGAGAAGAATTCATTATCAACACATCTCAATTACAAGTTGGACGCATTAAGTCTGCTGAATTTCACAGCTGTCTGCTTCGTATTCTGGAAGTCTCGGGTTCGGTCCTTGGTTAGATTGATATATTTTATAGTAATTGACGTAATCACTTCCCGAAATATGAGTTGTGTGGGCGGACTGCAAGACGTCAACCACAGCATCAGATTACTCCATATCCAGGCTCGCAACTACGATCCAGTGGGATACTAATTAGCCACCACAATTTACCAAGTTGCCTTTCTTTTTCACTCCTACCACTACGCAGCACCCATTTCGCTGCCATCCCTTTGACATGTCTTGAATGTTATTACAGCCTATTATTACGGCGATGAGGATAGGATGTTCAGGCCTTTAATGACTAAAGACACCGACAGACAATATAAACCCGCTGGCGCCTGTACTCCAGCTCACTTCTCTCTTCTCCTCTCCTCTCCTGTCCAATCCCTACCAAAATACATGGATGTTCGTGTGTGCATGTTTTCTTGATATGAATTTCGTCTAATTCTTTTTGAACATGAAACAATAATGTTATATAAAGATGGCCTTCTTCTTGGTTGTTATGCCATGTGATATGGTAGAAGTTTGTCGACGTTCCGGAGGTACTTTATTACGTTTCTAAAACAAGCACTTCTAAAACGTCTACCTGATTATACGCCGCAATAACCCAGAAGATAACCATTTTTAGACTCGCCACCGTGAGAGCTTGAAATTTCACAATATTTTGCATAATTTGGTATTTAATATGGCAGTAAGAAATTATACTTGAATTACAGTAAATAATAAAATCATAACCAGTTCATACTGCAAAATATCTGTTTCGTAATAATACGGATTAAAATCAGATTGAATTCGTGAAACGTCTGTCGCCATGCAGTCAAAAAACGTTTGTCTTCCCGTCTAATACCAAAAACAAAAAGATCGAATATAAGATTGTAATTTTACTTTGTAAGGGGGGGGGGACATTGAGGTAAGAACGTATGTTGAGGGTGTTTGTGAGAACAGGACGCTTAAGAAAATATATGGGACTGGACCTAAGACGTATGACGTGAGAGAGGTCTGGAGAAAACTGTTTCGTAATAATTTTTACCAAATATTATTAGGTTTATCAAATCAAGGACGATGCGATTGGCCGATGTAGGGCGCATGGCGACACGAGAAATGCTACATCTCTGGCATGAAGCTTTCACGGCGACTTAGTATAATAAATTCTTCTCGGGCTACCAGTCGTGTAACACTTCAGGTAGCCCGAGAAGAATTCATTATCAACACATCTCAATTACAAGTTGGACGCATTAAGTCTGCTGAATTTCACAGCTGTCTGCTTCGTATTCTGGAAGTCTCGGGTTCGGTCCTTGGTTAGATTGATATATTTTATAGTTTATTTAATGACGCTATCAGTAGCTCAGACTGTTTAAGCATCAAATGATTAATGAACAGTGAATTTGAAAGGATAAGAAAGAAAGCGGTAATTAACTAGTTTCAGGTACTACTGCGGTATTTGACTTGAAAAAGCGAGAAAAGTCGGTGTCCGAAACGCAATTTGAACCCGGGACTTCAGGCGTGATAATAACACGGCTTGAAGGTTGGCTATCCTGACTGAGGTTCTTTGTGTGTTTTTTTTCAGTCCCTCTGAGCAAATACTGGAATAGTAGTTTAAAATAGGCCACAAGTGTTTTCGTTCCACGCCTCCCTGAATTATCGTCCAGATGAGAAACTTACTTTCGTAAATGCTGAACCTGTTCAGGGAGACATTCAAAATGTTCCTGTGTAAAAATTCACGCTGTTCTCCGACACATTTTGCTATTATTTTTATTGGTGCAACAAAAATTAGCCATTTGCAAAGTAATTTACTTCTTTTACTTATCCTTTGTGTGGTGTGAGGCACCCTCCGACTAAGTCCGCGTCGGAAATGGACATACAGGTTCAACTTTAATTAGCGATGACGACATACAAAGGCCAGTATAAAACGGAGGAAGTCATAGGACGACCAGGTCATCTCCATGTACTTCGTGCGTTACAAGGCCACTGGGAGAGTCGGCTAGTGGGGTTGGTGGGTGAGGGGGTGGAATGGGGGTTAGCGTGGACACTGAATATACCTTGCCCACTGATTTGTAGCTGCTACGGTTCCTGAGGTTACGCTAGCTTCATTAGCAAACAGAAATCCTAGGTGAATCCACACCCCGGTAGGCCTAATTCTTATCCACTAACCACTACGTCATAACAAAAAACACGTTGGCCTATAGTTTCAGATTTGTCACCCCTTTCTCAAAATAAAATTATTCTGGCGAAGAAACTGTATGATTTATTAATCAGCATCGAATGAACAATAAATTAGTTTCACATCTGTTTATTTAAATTAACCTTGTGAACATTATCTGTCGTCCTAATTCAATTTAAAAATGACCTTTCGGAGGCTGGAATCTATCTCCCAATTGGACCCAATTCATATCCCCCGTCCCTTTGATTTGATCTCCCTAACAAGAACATATTTGTTGGAATACGAATTATGCTGGCATCTAACAGATTTTCAATTCCTCTCTTTTCTTTGAGATTTCGAATACCGTCGTATTTCAGGGTCCGTGTCCTCAAATTTCAAGTCATCAGTGCTACAGTACTTGTAATTATTGATTTAATTTGACAGAGAAGTTTTACGTTTTATTAATAAGGATATTTGCTTTTGCAGACCAGCAGTTGCGTAACTAAACCTAACAACTTCTGGCCTGCTTTGAAAACAATAGGGAACTGTTACATCGACGAAGTTGTTCCCCTTGTCGTCTCTCTCCTTTGGCGTCTTCTCTCGATTTATCCGAATCCGTCTATGAAATTCAGAAGTGCTTTGTTCTTTCTAAGCACTCATTTGTCATAAAGCCGTGATGAAGTCCTCGTGTAGCATCCTGTGCCAAGAATATGGCAAAGAGAAGGGTTACAGGTCAATCCATGAGGGAGAATGAGAACTTGTTCTTTTGCACAAAAGACGTCAATTTATCAAGCTTGTTTCTTGCGCCTTGATCCACATCTGATACAGCAAACCGGAGATAAAACATATTTTACTATTCTGTGCTGGAACAAGAAGGGGAAATGAGAGGACTTCAATAATAAGATGGCAGTTGCCTTAACATTAAGTTCAGAGCTGCATCCCTTGGAGCACGGATCTTGGCAGTAAAACTGGTCAGAAGCTGACGGTTACTGGCAAGACCGGCTCTCAGGACGCTGACCACAGAACGGGGAGATGCTGATGTATGGGAAAATACTGTGTCTGTATGAGCCTATGCTGACTGACCGGACATTGCTGTACTGCAGTGAACTCATTAGCATTGCAAATGATTCGCTGCCGGACGGATGGATGATGTTGGTGCCGCTGCTAGTAATGTTCGTTGCCATTTACGAAATGGCTTTGCTGCTGGGTCTGTGTGAGGTTGTCGGACAGTGGGCCTACCGGGGACGTGTTTTACGTCGGTTAGAGACGCTACTTTGGAAGGCTGTAGCTGTGTTAGTCACTCAAACTGCATACAAGTTGGTTATAGTCAATCTGAAGCTTCCTTGAGTGTTGTTTTGTACTTGTGGGTCGAATGAGTTTCACAATAGGCGGTTCGAAGTTTCAAGAGCCGAATTTTGAGAGTTGGAGATTTGCTGATTTAGAGTTTAATTATTCTACAACCGAAGTTAGTTTAACGGTTGGCCACGTAAACTTGTTTAACACTCATAAACCGAATCTGAATGTTTTTGTTTCAACAGTCTTTATTTTAATTGTAATAAAAATTAAACAGATTCACGTAATACAGTAACTTAAGAGCACAAAGCTTTTCAACATTTTCTTGTTACAGGGAACAGATGAGATTAATTCTTAGCTTATTTAAAATCGCTGTTTCAATTGCAGAAGTTGTAGAAGGGGAAGAAATGTAAATAAGTAACAGCATTACAAAATATTATTAACTTCTAGCTACAAGTCATAAAAGGCCTAAAGAATTTTTTACTTCATTGCTCAATTACTTGTTAGGTTTATCACGGAATGACTACTCAGCTGCCCCACTGAACAACAACCACGACAGTCACATGTGAACCTGTGACAGAACGACATTGGGACCCTTGAAATCTGCTGTTCCCACTGTGACAGAAGAAGCTCGCATTAAAACCACAGTTCTGCTTGCCAATGAGACTTCGAGAGCCTGGATGGTATGTTGTTACGTGTGCCTTATGATACGACCCAAATTTTAATTTAACATAAAACCATCTATTACTGTGTTCACAAAAGTCTACCAACAAACCCAGTCACAAGCCAGATAAATTTAGTTCGCATGTTACTACTTTAAAATCAATTTTAAAAATATGAACTTATCTACACCTGGGTGTCTCACGTGACTCGTTCAAGGTCTGGGTCCGGCGTCACGACGGCAAAGCGAATCCCAGAATGTGTCATAATCGTTTTAGACCCAGCTTTCGTTACGCCTCGGCCTATTACCCTCCTTCCTATACCCACACTACACAACCCCCCCCCACCCAAATGACATGGCTTTGTAAAATAACTTGCAAAGAAGTAAATAAATATATATTTCAGCAATGAAAATATTACGCTGCAGCGTATGTCTAACACAAGGTAAAATGCGTAAGAGAAAACACAACATTCTCATAGATGTATAGCGTAACTTTTACCGTTATCGTCAATTTTGTCCCGATCCTTAGTAGAATATTTACAACAAATGCTGCAGTGATACACGAGTGGGAGAACCGCCTGACATAAGAAAAATCACAAAGTTTCAGCAGGGACTGATCTTAAAAATATCACGTTTATATTATCTTAACCACATGTACGAATAAAATTACCAAACCTAAATTTATTTTGAATATACCTATACTAATGCAAGTTAGAGAACTCCACGTTCAATATGTAAAATATTTTCCGAATAAAGTGTAAAATTCTTCTACTTTGGTGAAATTCAAAGATTTGGTGTATAAGTTAAAAAAGATAGAAATAAAAAGATGTGTAATTGTCAAATTCTTTTAACGAGCTATGTCAATTAATTTATGCAAATTTGTACGTATTTTAATTAAACCTGTGCAAATATCTGAAGACGTATTTCTTTTGTTTAAATATGTTTAAAATTCTATAACACTTCTCATATGTTCAAATGAAAGGAGTCTAAGCAATACGATTTTATTCGCAGAACTGAAAGGTATTTGCTTAAAAATTCTAAGGTTGAATATAAAATTCTCCATCGCAATTTCACAAGTTCGTAAAGAACCCACACGAATTCCGTATAATTTCGTTACAAGCCTCTGTTGCCAAAGCGGAGAAGAGGCCTTCTCATTATTTCTGCTCTGGCTGTTTCTCTATGGTAATAAGGCAGGCCCAAAACCGAGGAAATATTAAGATAGGAGTAAGGAAGTAAAAGTGCGGGGAAGGGGAGCATCCTATCCAACGACGAGCGGGTGAGAGGGGGGAGGCATTTCGCTGCCTGTGAAGTTGCAAACCGCTCTATTGATTTCCTAGCTCATCTCCCAAGACACCCACACCCTTCCCTTTCGCCCGCAGCCTCAAATGTCTATCTGCCGAAGGAGAAGCAAAGAGGGGAGGAAGGAGAGACAAGAAACGGGGCGCAGATCTCAGCATGGAGGATATGAACCAAGTGGAATGCTTCAAGACTCGTCGTATTTCAGTGAAGCCGTATGTGCGACGATGACACACAGTCGACACAATGGGATTAGTTTAATTAGTAGCGCGATTTGTGTTAGAAGGATGGACAATTCCGGAGAAATGAAGTCGACCTCCTAGTACCTAGTGACTGGACCATGAGTAGAATTTCTCTACTTTCATATGAATAAAACGAATACTTTTATTTTTTATTGAAGTTTGTGTTTGGAAGTCTGAGGGTTTAAACCTAAGACACATAAAAATTTTCACACAAGATAAATAAATCTTATTTGCAGAATAATCAAAAATGTCATTCATTAGAACTACGTATATCACAGTCTAAGAGTGTTTACGTAATGGTCAAATAACTGTTACAATTAACAAATCCACTTATTACCTGCCTCAACATGCTGTTTCACGTTCCGCTTTAAATATAAACACTGCCCCACAAAATCGTAATATGTTGGCCCCATCTTTTTAAACAAAATTAAAACCCTTATAATCTATCCAGTAGGTCAGGTTAGGGGTAACTCATGTTGGAACAAGTTCTGCATAAAAAATAAAACTAAGCGTGGTCATACTTTATCGCTGTTAGTCTTAGCATCCAGTTTTAAGCAATATTCTAAACTGTGATTATAATCATTACATCATGGCAATTATTAATAATCATTTCAGTTTCACAAGATTGTCTTGAAAACCAAGCAGTATGTTGCAAATCTACTACGCCTACACAACTCTTGTTTAGACTGGACTCCGTACATCCGCGTCAGTGAAGTTGCCTGAGTGTCGCGGCGAATTGGCAGGTGTAAATCTGAAACTACATCCGAAAACCCAGTGCATATTTTATTCCGTTCCATATAAATTATTACGAATCCAGTTTCTCCGTACGTACATAACATGTGAAGGAGGATTACCAGCAAAAATTAATTTGTTTTAATCATATGTATATGGAGATAAGCCTGTCCTACTGAAACTGCTTAATTCGGATCAGTGGTACAAATTTAAAAAAATCTGTCCACTACTTTAAACCTTGGAATTAAGGAAATGTATATTCAAAGACCTCGCAAAATGTATGGAAATCAGCTGTCATCTTTAAGCTGCGTCCGCCTTTTTCTTGGTAGCCATTGGATACAAGGTTGAGAGGAAAGCAGCACTGTTGTGTCCAAGGTATGAATAAGACAATCTCAAATACACAATCCGAGTCTGCCAAGGCAAGAGGCAGTATGACCTCTGAAACGTTGGTTAACATCGACCAGACTACACAGCGCAACAACCCAGAAGACATAAATCTTCATACTGATCGCCCTGATGACGTAGGCAGTATGACCTCTGAAACGTTGGTTAACATCTACCAGACTACACAACCCAACTACCCAGAAGACATAAATCTTCGAAATAATTTCTGTCTATTTCGAGAATGATACGGAACCCATAAATACAAAATGCAGAGTTACTAACTTTTAAAGTAACTGGTACATAAAGTTACCATTCGGTTTGAAATGGTTAAATTTCACGAAGCTACTCAACTTAAAAATATTTAAAACTGAAGCTAGTTCAGCAGTTTCCCCTTGAGATTATTAAAATCTGTCCAATTAAAGCGATGGAATCATTTGGCACTGACCTAGGTCATCAGTGGGTTTTAAAGCTCTTTAAAGTTAGGGGAGGTCTAATTCCTTAACGCGATTACAAGTGACCAGTTCCGCAAACACGTGAAGTGACGTCAGATGTTGACAGCCGCAGGTCGAGGCAACGATGTACCTCAGGCCTCATGTCGTCCTATCTTGATTTAATTGCTTAAAACTATTAATTATGTATTTGTATGTCTTTGTTTAAAGGCTGATGTCTGCAAAGAAAAGAAGGATATTTAGAAAGTGACCAGTGTTGCGAGGTTTGTTTCGGACCATCGACCCGCTGAAGAGGTTAGGGGAGGTGTTGGTCTTGCTGGAAGGTGCTGAAAGTTATTACGAACTGTAAGTGAAATTTAATAGACATGTGATTCACATTTCAGGTCCTCATGGTGACGTGGAAGTCTTCTGCTTCTGGGACTGCGTGGCACATACAACCGAGCGATCGACTATGTACCTGGAGAGTCAGAATCACATGCAGAAGACTGCGACAGCATGTCCTGAATATAAATTGCGTCTGTTTCACTCATTTCCTCCAAATACTACCAAAATATCCGTGCATAATCATCCTAATATTCAAAGTTAACTAAGACAGAAATTATCCTGCCTTGTATTTGGAAAACACCGAATTTGAGGCACTGTCTGCCCTGGTTAAGACTTTTTGTGATTTTCCTTAGTCTCGTTAGACTAATATTAACACTAAATCGACAAAAAAGGTAAGAAATATGTCTTCTTAATTCCTTCTAGTCAACTACATTTAACCATAGTCTAATCTCATTCAATGCTAAGTATCATCATCAGTTGATAAAATGTCATTGAAGGAGTAACGAACCAAGCCCACCTAATACTTATAGTCTCCATGATGCTATCGGAGAAATTCGTTCGATTGTGGTACAAACAAGTGAAAATTCATCTGTACTTAATACAAATAGCTCGCTGGAATGTCAAGTTCAAAATATCTGACGGAGGTGAAATTTCAAAATTGAAGTCGAGAAAAGCAGCAAAATAAAAGTCAAAAGCAACTACAATTAAGTACGTTCTATAACGCGTAAACCATGTCATGTATTATGACAGTAATTCAATCATTAACAGTCTTACACAACAAACCTTTATTTAAGAAAATAATCGGCCTTTAGTGGCCTATGCAGGAATATCTATTTAATTTAAAGAAGCCAGTTTACGTTCAAACATCCAATATTATTGTTGTATGCGTTTGTGGCAGATACAATGTGCAGTCCCAATTTATCTTCTTTTTAAAAATGTTATTTTAACCCTACAATTTTTGTAGCTTGTTTCTGCAATATTACTGGAAATATAAATGAACTGCGCGTTCCGTCTGAATACGACGAGGTTAGGAAAGAGGGAAAACGTTCAGAAATCGTTATGTTGCCACTCCACGTATTCCGCTACTTGAAATTACTGTTTCATGAAAGTCTTCGGACTCAGGACCTATTTCAAAGCCTTCGTCCGGTCATTTTACCCACACAGTCTCCCTCCTTTCGTGCCAGTGATCTCCGAGAAAATATTCCCAACGTTACTCCTCTGGCCTTTCAAAATCGGTAACAGTGTAAAACGCAGCGCATGACCGCCGTTCACCAGAAGAGTGTGGAGGAACTTCGATTAGGAGCAGAGCAAGTAGTAGAGTTATGGCGAAGGCGAAGGCGAAGGGTTACTTCTGCTGCCTTGGAACGGCCACGGGGTGGAATGGCGAGTGTAAACTTTGACCAAGGAGTTCAGGGCGGCGAAGGGCTGGGGGAGGGGGGGAAGAACAAGATGCAGGGGTTGAGGAAGAACAGGACGAGTTCCGGCCAAGAGAGGTCTACGAACAGAGATGTTTAGTTATAGTCTGCTAGCTTGGGTGAAGTGGTTAGTACACTCCAGCTGAACAACTAAACCTTCTTAACTTCCAAGAAGTAGCCTAAAAACAACAATATAAGTTCAATAGTTAGTGTGTTCTCACACTTGTATGAAATGATGGTCCGTTTTGTCATTTGGACTATATCATGTAACATATTTTGAATCTCATATTATAAATGTGGATTCCGGAGCAATAGATCAGTTGCTGATCAAATATTTTTGTATTTTCGTTACACCAGGTATTTATGTATTAAAAAGCTTGTGGTTCATCTACGAAATAAATACTGTAAAGTAATTTAATTGGATTTAGAACGTCAAAGAAACTTGTAACCTATTCAACAAAGTGTGAACTTATAGCTATCAAATAGAGTTCGGTAAATACTTATCTGGTAATTTTCTAGTTCTAATTTATGTCTTCCCAGATATTTGAGCTTTGATAAATTTCGAAGTATTCGCTAGATATCCTTTGCACTAGTTTCAGGTGGATATAAAAAAATTATGGATATGTGGGCACGTCCCGATCATTTCATTTCTTCATTTTCATACAATTTCATGTAATCCCCATTAAAAGATTTGTTTTATATTCCGAGGCGGAATAAATAACAGTCAGTCAGTAGCGTTAATATTGTTTTTGGTAACATTTGCTGCGCGAAATGTATGAATAATTAACACAGACATTCTACCCCTCTGCTCCAAGGTCATCCGAGTGGAAATCCTGTAGAAATTATTCATAAGCTTCCCCTGTAAATACATCAAGGCAGTCCCCGTTACCTATAATGCACGCTCCTTGTATCTAATCGATGAAGACCTGGGTTCATGCCCCATCCTCATATCAAACGTTGAAGTGTAACTATTTAATTCAGATGACTGCCGTTATACACACTGGTTGCGGGTGCCTTGATACTTTGCATGTGTTTGAAGAAAACAAAATTTGAAGGTACAATAGCATAATGAACGAATCTGTTTACATAAATTTCGTCAATTGCTAACTCCAAATTTTAGGTCTGTGTTATGTGTATCAGAAGTTGGGCAACACATATTTATCTTATAGAGTGGTATTAACTGCTGTTGTAAAGATTTAGCCTGCGTAGACAAGCCACTTAAAGTTCATGCCCAAAGAGAAGTAATTTAAGAATATATCACTGTATAAAATTTGCATATTTTCATTTTTCAAGAAAGCAATTCACGGAGTGCCAAAACTTGGAAGACACTGCTTTAGAAAAGTACCAAAATCCCCATTTTAAACAATTCTTCCAAGTGAATTTGTGTCTTAGTGTGAGATGCCAAGATTAATAAACATACAAGGAACATAAAATTTATATATTCCGTTTATTTTAATGTTTACGTCAAGTCAATATTCAGAAAACGAGAGTTGCACAAAATCTACATTTGTTTTCTAAGAACTATTACCATACAACATGTAATGATCGCGCAGTAATTATCGCGAATGGCGCTTGCACCTCAGATGTTTGCACGGGCATTGAGTCATTCTTATTGATGATAGAAAAGTAAAAATTACAGAGGCGGGTTTTTCTCTTACATTTCTCGACTCTTTTAACTCTGTCCAGATGTTTAATTAACAGAACCGGTTTTTACTGGCAGTGTTGGAAAATGGTGCGTGAATCCATAATTTGTTTAAAAGTCGTCCACACGGTATAGAAATTGTTCTTAAGATTTTATATCGAGGTCGGAGTCGGAGTCGGTATATTTTTACCGACTCCGACTTCCTACCCCATGTAGTACGCGAACCACGATTTGTTAATCATTACTTTGGCGGAGGGGTTCTTTTTTACATAGCGATTAGAAACTGGTCTGACTTCTTAAGAGTATGCGTTTCGCAATGAGAGTGCTTTCAGTTCGTTACCATAGAAACAACCTTACAAGGAAGTCTGTTGCTACGGACAGCTGGACGTTCATAAGCATTAAGACACAAGTTGGATTGGAATTCTAATGGAATGTATACAGCTTGGCTGTAGGAGAGTTTCTGAAACTAAATTATAAAAATATTTCAGGAGAGGGAATGGATTAGAGACGCAGTTCAGCGTCGCCTTGATTATGAAAGAGAATTCAAGGCATGTACCACTTATAGAAACATCTACAGAACTTCTCCAATATAAACGTTTTAATCAGTAGTAAGTAATGAATCCCTTCGGATTTCAACGTAATTAATTTCGTATGCCAAGAACTTTGTAGCTGCTTCTCACAGACTGCGTTAGGAACAAGCCTACGTAATTTAAACGCACGCTCATTACATTCACATGCTTATTAGATACTACGGGTATGACGACCCGGGTTGGACTCCCGATAATGGCATGCATTTCTCTATTTGACGTGATATTCGGTCATATCTAAAGCCCAGTCATTTTGTTACGTGTTGGTGAAATGAAGTTTTGTCACTCCTACTTGTGATTTTATAAATCCCGGGTTCGAATCTCGGCCCAGATAGAAATCATTTTCACTGAGATTTTTCTGGATTTTCTTAGTCCCTCCAGGCAGCTGTTGGGCCAATACTTTAGTTGTTGGAATGAAAAAGCCAAAGCTGCTGATTGGTTTGGCGCTGGGAAACAGGAGGTAGCTCGGTTCACAGCAATGCGATGTTCTCTAGCTACAATATCCCATTGCGACGTAATCCAGTCCTGTTCACAATTTTTTCTCCAAATAAAAATATTTTGGGAAGTGCACAGCGTATTGCAGACAGACGTGGGGAACTGTATAAAGTATATTCTTACAATGTGTACTAAACGTTCAACTATGACTCTTTAAAATACTGAATTTCAAATAAATACATAGGCTTTCATACAATATATTCACTTTCTCTAAAAGCCCCGTTTCCCACAACCCTTTTGATATAAAGGTTCATCTAAATAGTAAAAGCAATTCAGTTCCTACCTCAAAGAAAACACAAACAACGCCTTTCCATTAAAAGATCGATTGGTTGATGTTGCTGGAGGCAGTAATTGCTGTTTACTCCAAGAAGGAGACTTACTTGTTTTTAAAGCAGCTGGTACTTAAATTTACAATTCAGCATTAAAGGGTTTGAAGTCTGTCTCGTGATTAATATTGATGATAAGAAAGTTCTGCTCTTGTTAGCGGATACAGAGAACATGGGTTGTACTTGTGGTCAGTCAGTTAATTTAGAAGCAATACAACAGGTCACGCCACGACCCGGGGCAGATAGCTGTAGACCCCAATAGAGGTCAGCTACGTTCTGCGTGTACCAAATGACGGTCTGAGAAAATGAAGGGATAGAGGTTATTACACGAAGCCAGTTTCGTGAGAATATTGCCAGGGAATCATCTCTCCTCCCCCTCGTCCATCTTAATCGCCTACGCAGCATCAGATAGTTAAACACCACTAGACTTGATCTCTTGTATTCTGAGTTGGAATCCTGTTCGTCATATTGAGTATTCACGATCTATCCCAGGAACTGTCATCCCAATGATGAGCTACGTTACAAATATATTTCAAGCGTCACATGGTTGACTAACGAAATTGGGGGGGGGGGCGCATGGAAGGAAGCAACCTAGCTTACTTTAAAAATTAATAAATAAGAGAAAAATCCGTAAATGAGGTATTATCCTATAATTTGACAGGAGGGGCTGAAAGAAATAAGGAACCCCAGTAAGGTTCGTGGTTTAAAGGTTCACGGCAACATCAATAAAATCTTCTATGGCAATCAATCGTGTCATTTGGTTAAAAATCAACGACATTTCGGTGATCATCTCTGTCCCCATCATCAGGGCAATGATGATGGGGTACGTGGTCCTGAAGAAACCGTGATTTTTAATTAGTTGACAAGGCTGATAGCCCGACATACTTGTATTAAGTTCAGTAATGATAACTGGCCTCTAGGACAAAAATCGAAACCTGTTTTTTGTAGAAAAGAAGCTGATAGGATTAATAACTACTAAAAAGTTACGTTCGGTTCCACAAAATTCAAAATGTTATATTATATCAAACAGCAACCAAACCTCAACAAATATTAAAATAATTATAATAATGGATTTAGTACGTGAAACTACGTCAACTTTTAATGACTTCCAGTAGCATAATTTGATAAGTGTCGTAACATCACCACCACTGCAACAATAATGTATATGTTTGGATATTTTTCTAAGTTTAAAAACCCATAACGTTTCAGAAATTGGCTTTGGTTCCGTCACAAAGTGAAACTGTACAATCAGTTGGGCCCATTTGTAGAAGGTAATCTCGGCCAACACAAGGATTTCGCCAGCATTCGAAATTTTGTGTTTTTTTGTTGTTGTTTTTAACTTATAGGGGAAGAAATATGTCCAATAATATCCTCTAAATCTGAAGTCAGTTCAGCCTGCACTAACATGTTTCCGTTGTGCCACAATCAGATTTGATTTAAAGCCACAGTAATCGCCAGGACAACTCTGGAGCCCATCCAGACTCGTATTTGCTTGAAATTGCAAATGCAGA